TACATATTTTGTTTCTAATTTTAATCTTATATTCTTAAAATTAACTAACCACTCTCATTTAAAAATTAAAAATTTAAAAATATTATGTAACTCTTTAAAAAAAAAAATAATTAAATTTTAAATAGTATAGCCATTTTTATTATGTTGTTGATACGTTTAATTTTTTGCAATTTATTTATTTGTTAAAAAAATATTTTTTGAATTGAATTTTCTAGATTTAGGAGCATTAAGATAGAATTACCCTTTTTTTTTTCAAAATTTACCATATTTGTGGGGAAAAATAAGTTAACCTATATTTTTTTTTACCGTATTAATAACTTTAAATGTGCGAATAAAAAAGGAATCACACACGTATTTAATTACTATTAAAATTTGATTTTTTTTAAAAAAGGGTAAAAAGTTAAAGTAATAGTAAAAATTAGATTGACATTACTTTTTCTGTTTTTTATTAGCGTATGATTATTATTTTCAAAAATTTAAATTATTTTAAATAATTTATAAATTATGTTTCTTGTGGTGCTGACATGTAAGCGCTTTTACCTCTCCTATGATATATAGATATATAGATTATTTATCATTTATAAAATACTTTAAAATAGTATTATTATTATTATTATTATTATTATTATTATTATTATTATTCTTGTTATTATTATTATTATTATTACAATTTCAGATTTTATATTATTATTATTACAATTTTAGATTTTATATTAATTTTTCAAATTGATGCCAACATATTCTTTAAAACTCAAATGACCAACGAGGTGAATTTTTTTCAATTTTTTTTTTATTAAAAACAGTAAAAATTTAAAGTAACTGTAAAATTTTAATTTTTTTCAAAAGGGGTAAAAACTGCTCTTAAGTGAATTAATAATAATAATTATTTTTATATTTATTTTTTTAAAATAAATAATATTTTATTATAATTATTATTTATTATTTATAAAATATTTTGAAATATTATTATTTGTATTACAAATTCAGATTTTATATTAATTTTGTAAATTCTGTTTTTATGATGCCAACTTATTCCTTAAAATTCTCAAATGACTAACGTGTTGATTTTTTTTTTGAATTATAAAATTAGTAAACTACCCTTAATTTATATTTAAATTTTGAAAAACAGTAAAAAGTTAAAGTAACTGTAAAATTTTAATCTATTTTAAAAGCGGTTAAAACTGCTTTTTTGTGAATTAATAATTATTCTTATTTTTTCATTTTTTAAAAATAAATAATATCAGTAATTTATTATTTAATTCTATTATATGTAATTAATAATTTATAATAATTATTTAAAAAGCCTGTTTTTTATGGTGCTGACACGTGACACTTTTTCTTTTCCTATTATATATAGAAGATATAGATATGGATTATTATTATTATTATTATTATTATTATTATTATTATTATTATTATTATTATCTACATTTGTTTTTTCTTTAAATTAGAAGG